CTTTACTTTGAGCCTTTTGGTCAAGGTGTTTGTGGGATTATGAGCAGAGAAGGAACTTACCCAAGCTGTCTAAAGGCCCTACTTGCTAATAAATATTTGTTCATCTGAGAGAGCTCTGTTTTAGATTTGCTTTTATTGTAACATCCCATCAGGTAATTAGGCTATGCAAGAGGAGACATATGGCCTTACCACTTCCAATAAAAGTAGCCACTCTCTACCAAATGATCTTGTGATTGGTGACTACATTGGCCTAGACAGTCTACAATGGTGTGAAAAAGAAACTAAAAGCCTATCCATCCTCATTCCATACTGAGGGTCATATCTGATTCCTGAGCACTGCCCTTGATGTACTACCTACTGAAGATCTCTTTAAAATCAGCAGGTAAATACTGATCTTTAAGAGCTGTACAGAAAGCAATCAAGCCATTGTAAAGGTCAAGGTCATCCTCTAGTAATATCATGTTTTAAAATATAATTAATTTTGGGGGCGCCTGGGTGGCTCAGTCGGTTAAGCGTCTGACTTCGGCTCAGGTCATGATCTCAGTTTGTGAGTTCAAGCCCTGCGTCGGGCTCTGTGCTGACAGTTCAGAGCCTGGAGCCTGCTTCAGATTCTGTGTCTCCTTCTCTCTCTGCCCCTCCCCCACTTGTGCTCTGTCTCTGTCTCTGAAAAATAAATAAATGTAAAAAATATATAATTAATTTGGGGGCACTTGGGTGACTCAATTGGTTAAGCATCTGACGTCGGCTCAGGTCATGATCTGGCAGTTCAGGAGTTCAAACCCTGAGTCGAAGCTTGTTGATTACTGACAGCTCAAACCTGTGATTGTGTCTCCTCTCTCTGCTTCTCCCCTGCTCACTCACTCTCTCAAAAATAAACAAACATTAAAAAATATGTAATTAAATTCGTATCACTTTTAATTTTTTTTTTTTAACGTTTATTTATTTTTGAGACAGAGACAACAGAGCATGAATAAGGGGAGGGGCAGAGAGAGGGAGATTACCTGAAACAGGCTCCAGGCTCTGAGTCAGCACAGAGCCCGGCAATCTTTGGGGCTCAAACTCACGGACCGTGAGATCATGACCTGAAGCTGACGGATGCTGGGCTCAAGCCACCAGGCCTTTTTTTTTTTTTTTTAATTTGTATCACTTTTAGTTAAAGCTTGATTACTTAGAAGGCTGTTTGTTAATGATTCCTCAAATCTGAAAATATAAATGGGGGCACCTAGGTGGCTCAGTCGGTTAAGCTTCCGTCTGACTCTTGATTTCAGCTCAGGTCATGATCTCACAGTTCATGGGATCAAGCCCGCACCTGGCTCTGTGCTGACAGTGTGGAGCCTGCTTGGGATTCTCTCTGCCCCTCCCTCACTTTCTCTCTTAAAATAAATTAAAAAAAATACAAATGAAACCAGGAAAACCTAGCCAAAGCAGAACTACTGTTTTAAATTAAAAAAATTTTTTTTTTCAACGTTTATTTATTTTTGGGACAGAGAGAGACAGAGCATGAATGGGAGAGGGCCAGAGAGAGAGGGAGATACAGAATCGAAACAGGCTCCAGGCTCTGGCAACAGAGCCCGACGAGGGGCTCGAACTCACGACCAGCGAGATCGTGACCTGGCTGAAGTCGGACGCTTAACCGACTGCGCCACCCAGGCGCCCCTGTTTTAAATTTTAAATAAACCAGTTCTATATTTCTCTTCAGAAGAAACTGGGGAAACGTCACTGATATTGAATGAAGGGCAATTTGAAAACCCAAGAATCAATCCAAGTGAAGTTGTTACATATGAGAAACCTAAAAGTAAAACTATGTCAAACACATTTTATTTGGTGTTTCATGCTAGGTCAACTTAAACAAATAAAACAACTTTGTTGAACAGATTTTTTTTTTTTTTAATATGACTATGTGTACATGGACAACTGAGAATAGGGAAACCCCCCAAATTAATGTTTTCACAAATTACAGCTGTTACTATAGCTTGGATTTTAAGAATATCATCCAATAAATGAATAGTTTCTCATTCCATATAACCAATCCCTCTCTTAAGAAAGCCAACATATTATAGTGCCGGAAGTTTACCTTTTTAAACACGCCATTAAAAAAAAAAAATGTTCCCTCAGAGTCCCCTCTCCTTCAATATTTTGTTGTTGCTTTCTAAAAATGGCAAAATAAAATTGAATTTACATTAGAAAATGAAAATACAGATTTGTACAGCTAAGCTCAGCAGCAGAAGTGAGGAAGAGTAACAAGTCAAAGCTGACGGGTCCCACAGAGAATGAGGACATTTGTGAAGGTATCCTGTACAGTGCTCTGTGTGGGCCGGACACAGTCAACATTCCATCATGTTTTCATTGCTCTTAAACGAGCAAAACCAAATTCTTTTTTTATTTAAAGAAATATTAAATCTCTATCTCCCCCCGCCCCCCCCCACCCCCCATAATTTGTGATCAGGTAAGGCAAAGGTAAGTCCCATCATCACTGGGAACAGCAGCAATATACAGACATCAGAAATAGCCCTGAATCATCGCTAACATTCTCCCTCCTGGTAACATAAGGAATGCATCTGATAAATCAAAGTTTGCAATGGTGTCACGTTGTTCTAATTTATTTGATTAGTTCACCTGGAAAAAACTTTATAAATACATTATTTAAGAGGACAGTATATTTTCTTACTCTGAAAAAATAATTTTTTTCACATTTTAAAACTGTTTAGTACACTTTTGCAAAAGGAGATGCAAGAATATGACAGCTGGGTCTGCAGAAAGTCCATGTACAAACTGCATTTACAAGAACCTGGTAATCTGCCTATAGTTGCTTCTACAAATAGAACTCTTTGCAGTAATATTTAACAAACAGGCTTAATTTAAACACGTCTCCTATTCACTCTACTTGTAGAGCAAAGAGGTACTTATTTTTCAAGTATTATACTGTAAAAGGTAAAATTTTTTGTGCCAATATTACATTAGCTTTTAAGGACCAAAATATTTATGTGAAAAATCATGCCTAGTCAGCCCATTTTTTAAAATAGCCAAATGTTCTTGTCTTTTAGAGAATGCAGAAAAATATTGATTTGCTAAGAAGGAGCACACTGGAAAAAGCCTTTGTAAAGTATTGAAGGATAAGGAAAATTTCTTTTTCTCTATTGGCGAAAATTATTAGAAAAGCTATCCAGTCTGTTGTCTTTAGCTGGCTTTAATAAAGTCTTTTCAAAAGGATGGTCAAGAAATCTTTAGAAAACTGGAAGATGGGGATGCTCCTTTATAGCATGGAAGGAATTCCATTAATTGTAGAAATTCTTATTAAATTTCTGCTTTGGTTCTTCAGAAGAAATGCTCATATAACTTCTATATGAGGAGACAGAAAAAAAAGCAAATTAGTATTTATCTAAAATCTTACTTAAAGAATACTATCACAATATATTACATTTCTAAAACTACTATGCTTTTCTATATATTTTCTTGTATAAGAATAGGCGATTTTTTTTTCAGAATCTTAAATATTATTAACAAATTCTACCACTAGCAGGAAACACATGTCCCTTTCTTTACTTGAACTTAGACTATATCATTTACTTTTCTAAATGACATACATCAACCAACTGTACTTTTCTTTGAGGTTAGGGACTTCTATTCATTGGTCTCATATCCTCAGTACTTGATGCTTCAGGCTTAAGGTTGGAGGTTAAATAAGTGTTTGATGAAAAAAACAGTCATGACCCCCAAAGAACCTTCATACCATTTCAGATCACAGACACTGGACCACGTTCTTATAGAAGTTACAGAAGTGTAAGAACAGTAAGAATGAAACGACAGGTAAATCAAAAGGTGAGTTAAGGCCCGTCACACGAGGCAGCAGGTCATCTGGATGTCCCTCCCCCTCTACGTATCTGTGACATGAATCTGTGACACGACAAAGTGGGAAGCTGCATCAGCAGTACTAACATACCAGCAATCAGATTATTTCCACTGGCTTACGAATCACAATGTCAGACCTGGAATGGACCTTATAGCTTCCTTTAACAATCTAGAACAGTGGATCACCAAAGTGAAATTATACTCCCAAGGGTAGTATATTAGAGAAGGAAAAAAGACTAGCTTCATTTGGACAGATGGTTCAACACTGCCTTTTCCAGCCAGATAAATTGGAAAATATTTGTCGCAAGGTCACAGACAGGATCTAAAAGACACAATAATCTGACCACAAATAAGTCTGAATCTGGCCAGGTCTGTTCATAAAAGTATGAAGAGATGGTGGTCGATACATGAAAGTGATCTGCTGGGAAGAGAAACTGGAAAGAACTCAAATAGGTTTGAAAAGAGACAGAGCTAGAATTATTCCACCTATTTTTGAGACTGATGAGACTGTGTTGTTGAGCTGCTGTGACCCCTGAGTTGGTAACTTTTGATGTTGCTCCTTATTTCTTTGCATCACATGAAGCTATTGTTCTTTTTGCACAAAGAATTCAGGTCAAGTATGAGTCCCAGAGATGGTATAAGAGAGTCATTGGTAAGTTTCCACAACAGCTTACAGTCATTCAACAAAGGAGAGAAGACCACTGGGCTCATATGCCCCTAGTTCTGAATAAGTGTCCAATTTCCTAAAATCTATCTACCTTATTACACTTAAAAAGGACAACAGTATATCATCCACGCTGCTAAGCCTGAACAAGAGAAAAAATGGGAGAGGATGACGGCAATCTTCATATATCTGAAGATCTGGGAAAGATGGAAAAAAAAACGCCAGTTGGGGTCACTAGGCCCAATGGTTTCTGTGTTATGACCAGACATTATGTGGTTGTCTTTGTGAAGCATGTTCTGGCAATGAGTGCTGTTGGGCTGTGAGGACTGCCTGTGAGAAGTTGATGGACACCCAGTGGGTGCTGCAGACTGGATTTGTGCTACCAGGTGGGAGAACGAGACAGGCCCGAGAAGTTGCCCAATCCAACTCAGAATTCAGTTTCTATGATCCATATACAATCTTTTCCATGTGGTCCCACTGCCACATGTCAACAGTCATACTGCAGAAGGTTCATTCCCTCACGCAATGTCACATATCTGTGATGGTTATGCAAAGCAAGCTTACCTGCTGTCTGTTGTGTTTGAACACCATCTACCTGAGGCAGGGGCCCAAGTGTCCCTTCATCATCAAAGGCCAAAATTGGATTCAAAGGAATTTCTGGGCTCTCACTGTTGGTGACATCTAATCTGGATGATTTAGATCCAATGGGTAAGTTTATAATTTCCTCAAAATTTTCATTCTGAACAGATACTCCATTTTCACTTGGTTGTTTTTCCAAATTGGGAGTACTAGTGGATTTGAAAAATCAAAATTGAAAGGAATTAGCATTAAAATTGGAAAACACATTTAAAAAAACAAAAAATATTTTATAATAAATAATTTTAGAATCAAATGTTAGACGGATTGACCATATCATTCACAAAAATGGTGAATTTTGACATATTTATATTTGACATTATTTGTAAAAATCTGTTCTTTTTGTTATAGAAATTTAAAAAATGGAATAATTTATCATTTAGAATAGATCATTGTTTCAACACACATTTAACAATTTCTACTGCAGGCATTTTCACACACCTTTGTTTGATAAACAGTAGCCCTTGTTAGGTTCTTTACTTCAAAGATGAGGGGATTATAATTTCGGGATAAGGGGGATAATCTGTAGAGTCACAGAACTACTGAGACGTGGTCCAGACTGAATGCATGACCTCCTGATCTCTGGTCCTGTGTTTTGTTCATTATGACATTTTATATGCTACGTGGCTATTCAAATTCTAGGTCTTCCTGGGTAGCTCTGGCTTGCTAAAACATGTACATAATTTTATAGGTAAATTGTTTAAGACCAACCTAACCGGAATCTGATTCTCATTAATTCATGCTTAATATCTTGGATCTATTTTTGAGGTACATTCAATTGGCCATCAAATCCTTAATTTTCTACCTACAGTTTCTCTTTGATTTTTTTCCTCTCTTTAAAACCTTCAAAACCAAATTGAAAGTCTTTTCTATGTTCATTATTATGCTTTATAATGCAGTAAAAACAATGCCTGTGCAAATGAATGCTATCTTTTAAAAAAAAATTTTTTTTTAACGTTTATTTTTGAGACAGAGAGAGACAGAACATGAACGGGGGAGGGGCAGAGAGAGAGGGAGACACAGAATTGGAAGCAGGCTCCAGGCTCTGAGCTATCAGCCCAGAGCCCGACGCGGGGCTCGAACTCACCGACTGTGAGATCGTGACCTGAGCTGAAGTCAGACGCTTAACTGACTGAGCCACCCAGGTGCCCCAAATGAATGCTATCTTAATTGTTCACTTTATCTGAGGGCAGCATTAAACATAATATTTGCAATCGTCATAATTTGTTCAAGTGTGCAACTCAAAATGACCCTATTTGAGGTGCCTGGGTGGCTCAGTTGGTTAAACATTCGATTCTTGATATTGGCTCATTCTGTGATCTCTCAGTCGTGGGATTGAGCCTCACATCGGGCTCTGTGCTGAGCACGGAGCCTGCTTGGGTTTCTTTCTCTCTCCTCCCCCTCTCATCCTCTCCCCTGCTCTTGCACTCTCTCTCTCAAAATAAAGAAACATTAAAAAAAATGACTCCATTTGACAAAATTCTAGAGTTAAAACTGTCAAATGGAAAATGAAAAAGACTAAGAATATGAAGCAAAAATTGTGAAGGTTTTAACTTCTAATACATACTGATCATCAACCGAATATTTACCTATAGAAAGAGGTCTATGAAAAGAGGCCAAAGATCAGAATAGCAGATGTGTAGTATAGTGCCAACTGCTTGAACTTTAACATGTCAATTCATCTCTTTCTGTCTCCTTCCTAAATGGTAACATAAAGCTAACATACCTCAAATTTTTCCATTGCATCTTTTTTTGAGGAATCTGCTTTCCCCCCCCTTATTGAGGAAATAGTTTACCTAATTGGTGAGAAATGATGATTTTGTGGAACACATTCTCAAGCATTTCTGATTTAGATATTTTGGTATATTTTTGTTAATCATTAAAACTTTTCTTCTTGAGAGAAAAAAAAAAGCGCCTGTCCTAAGTGTCTCACAACGTTATTGTAGGGTACACTGAAAGTATTATTTATGAGACTGTGAAATATAACATAAAAACATTATACAGACTCAGAGTATAATGGTGCTTTTTTGCTATTTCACCAAGGAGGCTTGTATCACTGGAGTCTGCAGGAGTGTGGGTGTGAGCGCACACGCGCGTGCACACGCGCACGCACACACACACACACACACACACACACGCTTCACATTGCTGTTCTAAGTACTTGGCCAGCCACCACACCCAGCCTCCAGGTTCTTTCCCAACACAAAGGCTTTCTGTAACCGGGGAAACAGTTTTGGTTCTCGTCCCAAAGAGATTTTCAGTAGAAGTTTTGGCAAAAGATACAGCAGAGGGGTGCGTCTCCAAGCCTCGTTCCTTGATCATCCCCGCCGTCACCTTCTAGGCTTGCGTGTGCTAACAGGTGAACTGGCAACACAACCCAGACTTGAGTCAACAGTTGACTTCATTTTCCCCTCCCACTCCTAGCTGACCTCCACACCCATTCTTACTTGTTAGCACAACTAGAGGAATGATTGTGCTATATGCTTTGGATGTCCAATTACTAAATGTTCAAAAGACACAGTGACCAGCAGAAACGATAAAACTGAAAATGAAGTCACTGGGGTTAGGGAATAGGCATCTGTATGTCCTCTCCGGTTAAGATCACCAGCTTTTGAATTCTTGTTCTTTGGTTATACTCTGGCAGCCGAAGCTGGGTGCAAGAGTCTTGAAGGCTGTGTACTTTGCTCGGTCCGTCTAAGATCTACCCGAAGAGGGGGCACCCGGCTGGCTCAGTTGGTGCAGCATATGACTCTTGATCTTGGGAGTTGTGAGTTCAAACTCCACGTTGTGTGTAAAGATTACTTAAAAAAAATCTGCCCAGGGAAGGGGGCTAGGTTCATGGTAAAATCTGACAGTCCATACAGCTTACTGTAGCCAGGACCTTATTCTTTCTTAACATTTATTGTCATGTTATAGCAAGTAACTTTAAAATTAAAAGTGATACATTTCTTTCTGTTTGAATGACAGGTATGTGGCAATGTTACTTTCCCTTTAGGGGAAACTAAAAACAATTATAAACTCCTAAGATTGGGAGGAAAACCACTAGGTCAAAAGTCAAAATTACTACAAATCATTTAAGATAGAAGGATCATTCTATTGAAAAGACAGCCCTCAGAGCCAAGAACAGGATGAAATGTCTTCTGGGTATTAGCAAGGTAAGACAGTGGCTCATGAGAATTTTTTAGCTACTAGAACAGATTCTCTGCTGGGGTTGGAAGAATATATCAGAATGACCTGAGAAACTTAATGTCTGTCCTCCCTCCTCCACACTCCATACATACTTGTACTCACACATTCATCTGTATCCTCTGTTTCTTGTTCCAAAGCAAGTTTGTTATCCACAAATAAATACTCTCCTCCATCCTATGGGCTCCCCCTCTATTAATACTCATCCTCAAGAACTAAAAATGGTTTCTGGAATAGGAATCATCCTGCCCAGGCTCCTTTATTTCTTTGTACCTTTAAAAGCTGGCCAGAGTTTTGGTAACTCCAACCCTCTTCAACTTACCTACTGTCAGTGGGGATCCTGTTGGGCAAGGAGAATTGTTTTCAGGCTTTAAAAGCACTGCACACCAAAGGCAGAGAGCAGGAGAAACCACAGGGGCCAGAAGTGTCACTCAGGCCCCTTGAGGCTGAAGGAAGGTTCAGGGTGTTCCTGGTGCAGGGTTTCTCTGCACCAGGAACTGCTGCTACTCCTAGTCCCAGCTGCTGGAAAATACTAGGAGGACACTATCATCCCAGGGTGCTTCCAGACCGTGTGCTGACATATCTCCAGGGGGAGATGGGGGTGAATATAACCCAGTTTACCGCACTCATTTATTTTTCCTGAAGAGAAGGTAAACCAATGTATTAGGTAGCCGAGGCATTAGGGAAAGTGAAACTCCTCCGATTCTGAACTAAAAATATTCATTCTTAGGACTGGAGTTTTCTAGTGAGAATAAACCCTGCTGCAGTGCTTACAGCATTTGTCGTGATGGATTTCCACAGAGGGTCACCCAGGTCAGGTTCTTGGGAAGGGACCCTGGGAACCTCCAGTTAGTGATTTAACTCACTAGTGAGCAGCCTGGAGGGATCTATGACTTTACTTTAGGTGCCTAGTAAGGTATTTAATAAACATATTGACGGATTACAAGAATTATGGAAGGCTTCATTGACCGTAATGCACTCAGGTAAAAAACAATGACTTGGGAAGTGATTTCAAGGTGGACTTGAAACTGAGGGTAAAAGGGAACATCCATGGATGCGATTTGTTTGTAACTTTAATGACGGGATTTCAGAAGTAATACTGTTTAAAAATACCAGCCCCCCACTGAAGCAAAGGGAGTGTGAGCGGGAAACTGTCTTATAGGGAAGAGTATGAAAGGTCAGTACGGGCAGGTCCTTCTCCAGGCAGGAGAGTCTCAGTGGCAGGTAGCCTCAGGGGTCAGCGCTAACATTAGTTGTATAGTAACTGGACATGTAGGAGGTAAAATTTAAGTATTCAGATCATGTTTATTCTGGGAAATGTTAAGTTGTAAGAATAATCCCTTGAGGACAACGGGAAAAATCATTAAATGTAAACAACATAAAAGGCAGTGGGTTTAGAGACCTGTAAACTGAACCATCCTCAGAAGATGAAGACCTATCTATCAGTCACAAGGGAGGTAAGAGCTCTGGGAATCTCTGTAAACTGGATCTGCGTGACACTGATTCCTTATGTTTTTGTGGTTAAAGAAAAGGCCAATAAAATGGGAGGCATGAGAAGGTGTGCTATCAGACACAATAAAAGCATTTTTTTATAACATTACACTGCAGCTACACCAGTGTTTGATGTCTTCTGGACACCGTACTTTAGAAGGATAAAGGTAAAAATAACATCTGACATTTGTATAGTACAACAGTTTTCAGAGCGCCTTCACAGACAGTATTTCATTGGACCCTCCAGAACTTTGGGGGGGAAAACCTCTTCGTGTCCAGATGAGAAAACTAAGTCTTATTTAAGTAGGTTAATCCCAAAGTCTGAGAACAGAGATAAAACTAGGGAATCCAGCCTGGGAATTTTGGTTCTAAAGCTCTTCTTCCTCAACCTCACACTCATGCTGAAGAATCTCCAGAGAAATAGGACTAGAATGACAAAGAGCTGAGGAGGAGCCTTTTTTAAAGACAAGGTAAACTTGTCAGGTATTGTTTTCTTTTGCTTTTGCCTCCAAATTCATCCTTCATTCCTGCTCTGAAACTGGATGTGGGCCCTTGAAAAATTTTTTTCTTTTGACGTTAATTTATTTATTTATTTAGAGAGAGAAAATGCAAGTGGGAGAGGGACAGAGAGCCAGAGAGAGAGAGAGAATCCCAAGCAAGCTCCACACCGTCAGCGTGGAGCCTGACGCGGGGCTCGATCCCACGACTGTGAGATCATGACCTGAGTGGAAATCAAGAGTCAGACGCTTAACAGACTGAGCCACCCAGGTGGATCAGGGTCCTTTAAATAATCTTCCTTTGCCAGCTGGCACAATCTCCAAGCTTCGCCATTTAAGGCTGCTGGAGAGATGCTGCGCGAGGAAAACTGGGCTTCCTGGTTTGGTTGTGCTTGCTCGACAGGCTGCTGCGGCACATGCCTGTGGCATTCCCAGTTGTCTGCCCTCCGCAGTGCTATGAGGCTTCCTCAGCACCCAGCCCAGCCCCGGCAGCAAGAAGGGCTTCCCCGTGCACCTACCGAGGGCCAACTTGTGGTAGACAAGTCTCTGCCTCTACTGAGACACCTCTTGGTGAACAGCCTCCCCAAACATTCTAGAGTAGATATCTGCCAAGTTCCACCATCAAGATACATGACAACTTCCTCACCATCTAGTGGGTCACGGCCATACCTTCTCGAACAAGGTCTGAATGGAAGCCATGGTGCAGGTGACTCTTCCTTGGGTGTGGCCCAGGGATGTGGCTGCTCTTTATACCTGCTATTTCTGTATTCTTTTTTTTTTTATTAAAAAAATTTTTTTAAATGTTTATTCAATTTTGAAAGAGACGGAGCATGAGCAGGGGAGGGGCAGAGAGAGAGAGACAGAAAATCTGAACCAGGATCCAGGCTATGAACTGTTGGCACAGAGCCCAACGCAGGGCTGGAACACATGAGCTGTGAGATCATGACCTAAGCTGAAGTCAGAAACAACCGACTGAGCCACCCACGTGCCCCTCCTCTATTCTTGAGTTCTCTTGACTTCCTACTAGCAATATGTTGTTGCTCTAATCCCAAGTAACAGTTAACTATTCTTGAGTTAAACTTTCCTATTCAGATTAATCTCGCTGGTTTCTCTCTCCTGACTGATATACTCGCTGGACCCTGACTGATATACTAAGCACAGTAGGGATATTCAATTTAAAAGATGAAAGAAAAAAAAGAACAGAAACAAAACCTGTAAAATTACAAAAGGTATGGAAATTGTGAGAAAGGACTTATTCCCTAAAACCTAGTTTTTGACAACTATGGGTCCTAACCTTGAAACTGCACATAGGTTAGAAAAATAAAAAATGCTTCTTTCTGCACTTTTTGTTACTAAAAAAGATGAGGCTAAGTGAAAATACAAATTGTTTCAACATCAGTGTGCACAAATTCAAGGAAGATAAATTTAGAAATAACTGAGAGAATCAGAGTTTCTTGGGCTGCATCTCACAAACTCTGTATCATGCAACAGGAAACAACAGCACATTAAACACCCCCTATCGGCCAGAGTCGTTCAGAAATGGACTGTGTTCATGTTTTCATTCTGATAAAAATTTTTTAAAAAGCCCCCAAAGAATAGTCTGATCATCTACACAGCAGACTATCATAAAGCTGAGTTTTACATGATTTTAGTGCTTCACTTTGCATTAGTATTTCAGAGCATACTGTACCACATTATGTGGCAAGGGCTGATGACAAATGAACTGGGTTGAACTGGGCATATAAATATTGGGTCGGTGCCAAGTAAAAGCCAAGTGACGTCATGGTACACTGTATGAAAAGAGATTTGAGGTTTTAAAGCAGTTTAAATAGAGAAAAGCCACGGGTGAAATAAATGCAGAAGCTCACGGTAGCTAAGAACATCCCTCATGCCAATGGGATCAGTCAGTACCACGTGTATAAATGTCGGCTTAATTTCAGAAAAATATTCTTCACAATAAATGACCTCTTTTAATTTGAATAGTCTTGGGCTAGTAGTGTTATTTTTTGTTTTGGCTTTCTAAACAAATACAAGCTATTAACATTTTAAACCCAAGTTTATCTCTGTGAAAATAATAAAGGTACCTCTTATATAACTGGGAATCTGCTAGAATTTTTTTCCTTAAAGGGCAGGTACACGGGGCCAATGAATTTAATTGGTTAAGGTCATTCTAGTATTATATGCTAATGTTCATAGTTGATACTAATCAGGACCTGCCTATATTGTTAGGTGACAGTGGAAAAGTCTATGCTTATATTTTTCCTGATGGTTGACAGGGATCATATCATACTACATGTATGACAAAGGACAATGTGTCACCTGGGTGAAGAAGGATGGCATCAGTAAGGTCATATTGCTATACTTTTTAATTATAAACTGTTGCTGTTCTGTGTGCAGAGGCTAAGAGAAAATCGAATTTTATCATCTATCTCAGTCTACATGGTACAATTATGTTTCAGGTATTTATATACATAATGATTATTTACTTGATGATTTTACCACTGAAAAAAGTCAGCTAACGTGTAAACTATTGTTATTGATCAGATAAAATTATCAGTGGCTTACTAAACTTGTTCCTTATCGTAATAATGTGGTTCTCCCTGTGGTACTGTTTATTCTTTCATAAAAGTCTCCTTTTTTAAAGTAATGAATTGAACATCATAAATTATAGCGGCTGGGGATGAATATTTTATTTGAAAATCAAGCTGTAACTAAAAGAATAAAGTATGACTTAATATATATCTTGGGTAATGACCATAAATTTATTCAACGTAGTTGAAAGCTTATTAATAAGATCTCTCTTAGGAAAGTTCCTCTCTTTGGTATTATAGTGGGAAAAATAAAGATTTTACTGTTCCAGAAACATATCAATGGATGTCTTATGACTTATGAACATCTTAGGATGTCTGTCTTAGGATGACTCATCTTTTCATTGCTGCCAATATTACAAAATGTCGTGCAATGTGTGGTTTTAGATTAAGAAAAAAATTAACTTGAAGACCTTCAATTTTCTGATGGCAACAAAGACTCTGGCATTAAAGACAGGATAACTTATAGAATATAACTAAGTACATTAAAAAAAGTCATAGCTGAAATTTTTGAACAGTATTACAAATATTTCTAAAATTTCTCTATGACTGGAGTTTTAGGCCTAGGCTAGGATCACCCTGATTTTTCATTTTTGAGAGTGCTCTTATGATGCTGTCGATATAAATGCCAAAGAAGAGAAAGGCAATCTTTTTTCAACCCACAATTCTTTCTTGACTGTTGTTAGCAACCGTTTGTTTCTTCTATAAGAAGCCCTACTACCAATATAAGAATTATTGGCATCGAAATTATTTTACTGGAGAACCAACTGTGACTTACTAGAACATTCTGTATGGTAAAAATACAGCAGTTATATGCCATCAAAGGATATGAATATGGTCTAGATCATGTTAAATATATACAAACAAATTCTTCCCCGTAATTTTCTTTAACAGGCACACACAGACCTGACTATCCACATATATTTTTTAATGGCTTATTTATTTTGAGAGAGAGAGAGAGAGAGAGAGAGAGGTGAAGAGAGAGGGAGAGAGAGAGTTCTCCAGCAGGCTCCACACTCAGCGCGTAAGATCATGACCTGAGCCACCCACCCACAACCATGAGATTATGACCTGAGCCTAAATCAAGAGTCAGACACTTAACCCACTGAACTACCCAGGCACCCCAAACCTATCATATTTAAGGACTTCAGTAAAAAGATATTTTGCCTTTTTCTGAGTATGGAGTTACTAGCTTTACCCAAAGTTAATGAACCCAAATAAAAATAAATCTTTATGTTTACATTTTGGAATTCCATCAGGCCTAAGAAGTTCTGGTGGGATTAGTGCTCTGCTCTAATGCGCATCGGTAGAAAAGACCCGGTTGTCTAACTCACCTCTCCACAGTCACTTTTGATTGGTGTGAGGTAACGGCATGTGGGCTGGCCACTGGTTCTCCATTTCCTGAAGAGTCTGTCAGACACGGAAGGGCAGATACCACTGAACATAACAGCAAAGAGGATGGGACAAAGGGTTACTACTACTCTATGGTCAAACCCAAACCCCAGGAGCCAGCGTGCCTGCATTTATCTCCTGGCTCTGCTACTTACCACCTGTGTGACCTTGGGCAGGCCACAAACTCGGTGCCTCCCATTTCCTCCCGGATAAGAATACCTACCTCACAGCACTATGGGGAGAATTAAATGTATTAACATATGCGGAGTACTTACGACAGTGTCCAGCGCGGTATGAGGGTGGCAATCAGTGTTGGGTGTTATTTTTGCTTGCACTGAACAGACTTTGGACAGAAAGTATATAATGTTGAAACCAAAGCAACTGGTGAAGACAGCAGTAAGCTGACCTGATCAGGCTGACAGTGAGTATCTTTAGATTTGGAGCAAATCACCATGAACTACCTCAAGTGATGAGAAATATTTTCTTAAACTCAGTTTAATTCTAGGTGCACTCAGAAGATAAGGGTTTCACAAATGGAAGGCCAGTGAACTGTACCTAGCTGTGCCACCTCTTCATTCAGTGCGAACAGTTGGTTCGCAGTCCAGCGTAAGCCAACAATATTGATGACAGACTCTAAAATCTGGGCCTGGGTTCCTTAAAGTCTTGTAAACCTTCATAAAGGTCCGAGTTCCAAGGAAGTCTCATTTCACAGCATAGCACGAGCTCAGTAACGCTGCTAGAGGTACAGGGAGTCTGATAACTGAACTTTATTAAAGATGCCAGAATTTGCCAAATTGGTAGTAGGCAGCCTCAGAGATTACCGATAGGTCTGAAAACTCACCTGCCTGCCTGCCCTCGAATTCTCTTTGGAGCCCTGGCAACAGCATTCAGCCCTCAACCACATATGGGACTGGACAAAGAGGGATATTTGTTAGCCAGATAAACCTCAGGCCCTTTTCAGCATATGAACTCAAACCAGACTTATTGTGAGTGTTGATAAACACAGATAGGATGATTGGCAAGTTTCACCTTCCCTGTTGCCTTGGTGGATTCTCGAGCTGAGGTACAAAGAATACTGAAAGAATTGTTAAGGGAATAGCAGGAAGGGGGAAGATGGAAAAACAAAGAAAAAAAACAAGGAAACTGGCCATGCATGAACTACAGCATCAGCCCCTCAAATAACCCTGCGATGGTGCAATTTATATCCTAAAATGCTCATTCTGATGACTCACGGGGGGTTACGCCTTCATAGAGTCGCCACGTATTACAAGATTTGCAATAATGCAGTGGGGTTAATAGGCGATCACAAGGGTTATCTTCCAAACAAATATAATTAGGGCATCTTTAAAAACCATGAAAAGTCTACTATGAAGGAATCATGAAATCATTTGATTAGTCCAGTCTTAAAAGAAAAAAAAACAGCAAAGGAAAGTGGGGTATCTCTGGTCCTTTCTTATCATATTGATATTGCAGATGAGGAAAGAGGAAGGCTACACGATGGGCTCTCTACCCACCACCTGTATGTACAATCATGAAGACGACGTGGGATCACAGAGGAAGAGTTACGAGCTTGCACTTCAGCTCTGGGAGCTGGGTTGGTCACGCTGCTCCTCGGGGGAAGGGAACTGGCCTGGCCTGTCCCACGGACTCCCAGCACCTGCAAGGAGGCCTGGCACATGGCAGGTCTCTGGAAATGCTTGCTGACTCCAAGATAAAGCACTCAACCTCACAAAGCTGCAGTGGAAGTTTAACAAGAAAATGTATGCAGGATGTATATACATCCTGGCACAAAGAGGCCCCTTAATAAATACTAATTGAACCTGGGTACTAACACACTAAGGCAACTTTTATTTAAAGCAAATTTCTTTGAAAATCACCAAGAAGTTAATGATCTCTGTCCAAAGCCTATAGGTCTCAACAACTTTCTAATGAAATTTTAACAAATTTTTAATTTTAACTCTATTCTGAAATCAGAAGTTAAAAAAGCATAAATTCTTTTTTGAGAACTGCTGTAAATACAAGTTTTCAAAATGTGTACGTTTAGAGTACTTAAGAGCAAATATACATACACGCTAATTTAGCAGACAGTAAATGATAAATGAAATTTAATTTTATAACACCAACAAAATTCTTCTCATTATGTGTGTATATATATTTATGTGTATACACACAGGGATATACAAATCTATATCCACAGATACGGATACTTATAATGTGAAATGATTTAAGATATTAAGCACACCATTAGAGTATAAACTAAAATGACAAAACATCTGCCACAAATGCAAGAGCATTTTCCATAAGGGGAAAATCTGCGGACTAGAGGACACACACCTAAGCTTCTGTACATCAATGAGTAACTTTTTTGTGTGTAACCAATCAAGAGATATCCTGATCTCTAGAGAGTTAATTCAAAAACTCTTGTCTACATTTGAATTTCTTTGAATTCACTGAAGCAAATACCTGTTTCTCCAGTGAGAGCTCCCTTGGTTATATCTCCGTTTCTCTGATCAACAGTTTTCTAAAAAAAAAAAAAAAGAGATTTTTTTAATGTTAAAGTTAGAAGTGAAAGGAAAAAAAAGTTATTAGGAATAGTTTAAAAATGGCCATCTCAGTACCTTATCTGTAGGTTCTGTTCGTCTTGTTCTTTTCATAATCTCCTCAAGTCGCTACAAGGAAGGGAGAATTGAGCAAAAGGATCAAATCCAGAAAGAAGGCTAGCCTGGCACATTTCACTGACTAAGCAAATGGGTCATTAAAACACGTCTGTTACTTTGGGTAATTCTAATACAAACTGCTTTGGCCTAATTGGCATTATTCACAAAGCTGGAACTGACTGAAGGCACATGAATCAGAAGGAACTGTTTATGGTGAGCGCCCCACTATGAAGACTGATTTCTTTGGAGGAGATGATGAATCCTGAGAGCTACCCTAACCTTGATCCCAACAGGACTCTTACATGGTCCACCTTCCTCCTGCCCTGTAACGGAACATTATAACCTTTGTTTATTTACAAAGCTTTCCTTGCGGGGAGGGGGTCGAATTCATTACTAAAATGTCTCGTTAGTGGATTAAACAAGCAGAGCACGAGCAGAACACACGTGCTTTCTGAGAGCAGTGAGCTAATGTCTGGGTCCTCCCGTGGCTTCAAGTCTGGGGAAGAATGGGCACAGTTAGCATCCCAGGTTTCCGCGTTAGATGCAATCACCTTCTTTCTTTCCAGGCGCTCCTGCTCTTCTCTCTGGAAGTGCTTCTCCCGCTCCTGCCGGACCCTCTCTGCTTCCTCCCGAACGCGAGCTTCTTCTTCCTTCTGGAAACAAGAAGGCGGCCTGTGCTTCTGGCCAGCAGGGTTGCTCGCTGCCCCATCTCTGGGGTGAGGGTGGGGGTGGGGGGGGGTGAGGAGGTGGCTCCAGGAGGTCTTGGTGGTGTGTGATGGTAGCGGAGAAGGAGGTGCAAGCGGCGTGATGCCTGCAGTGGAGTGGGAGGACACCCTCCCGCCCTGGACACTCTCCCCCCTCCCCAGGGCCCTTGGTGGACCTACCTGCTTCTCTGCAGCTTGTGGCAGCTCCTAGCCTCGGCTCAGCTCCGGCTCCTCCTCCGGCTTGCTTGACAGCTGCTCTTCCCGCTGCCGGGCCTGCTCGGCCTCCAGCCGGCGGGCCTCCTCCTCGCGCCGCGCCCGCTCTCCGCCACCTTCTGCGCCAGCTCCTCTTTCTTTTGTCTGCAATAAGACATGCGAGGGGGGCTCCCTGGACAGAGGCTCGGGTTTGTGGCTCCAGCAGGGGCAGTCTGTTCTGAGGGCTGGGGGAGGGGGGGAATCTCCACTGGGGACGCTCAGCGTGGTTCGTGGTCAAACATTAATCCATGCTTCATCTTTCCGGCCTCATGTGGCCTTGTAGTAAACAGAAAACGAGACCACTAGTATTTCGAGGAGCGCTTGTTTTGTGGAAGTCCGTGCAACTTAATTATCCTTAAAGGCCGAGACTTGTTTAATCCACTAACGAGACATTTTACTAATGAATTCGACCCCCTCCCCGCAAGGAAAGCTTTGTAAATAAACAAAGGTTATAATGTTCCGTTACAGGGCAGGAGGAAGGTGGACCATGTAAGAGTCCAGTTGGGATCAAGGGTAGGGAACGTCCAAGATCGCTGCCAGCACAGGGGCTGTGGTCCTCCCTACCCCACCCCCCACGCCCCCAAGGTGCTGTTGTGCTTATTTGAAGAACAATTTGCATTGACATTGGTTTTTTTTAGCCCCAGGAGGAGGCCAACTAAGCAAACTGTCCCTCCAGCAAACTAGCAGGTAATCATGTGGACGCATTAACTGTCTCACCCAGCTACTCTGAGAGTTCTATCTAGAAGAAACCATGAACTCTTACTATGCAGCTTTAAAACGATAATTAGGAAGATAATAAGGAAATATGGAGATCAGAAATACGTTCAGTAAAAAAAAATCAGAGTGCACAGTTGTACCTCCACTGTGCTTAGAATTATGTAAATAGATGTCTGTGTGTACATACTTATGTACGTTTATAAACCTGCACACTGTTCAGAGACTGGAAAGGATGATCTCAAATCCACTCTTCCAATTATTGAAAACTGGTAAGATGATGGACAGATTTTTTTCCTTGAAGCCTTTCCCCATCAGTGTTGTGGCACTGTCAGTATAATAAGAAAATGTGATTTAAAAAAAAAATCACTTGGCGGTCAGAGACACGATTGTGAAGCAGCTAATCCGTTCACCATCATGACTGCCACCACCTCTCGTGTCTCTCAGACGGAAGACTTAATCCCAGGTATCCCTAGGAGGTCACCGCTCATTGAGCACGGTCACCGCTTTACCTTTCCAGCTCTTCCCTCTCCCTCTTCTCCCTTTCCTCCTTCTCTCTCTGCTCCCGGGCCAGCCGCCTCTTCTCAGCTAGCAGCCTCGTGGCCTCTTCCGGGTCGGTGGTGCCCGCAGAGGTCTTGGGAGAAGCGCAAGCAGTCACAGTGGATGGCGAGGCTGGGGCTGAGGCTGGGGCTGGGACCGGCGCTGGAGCGGGGGCCGAGGGGGCCACGGCTGGGGCTGAAGCAGCTGTACAAACAGGTACAACGAGAAAACCAACTGGAAACAAAACCCAAAGAACAAAACAAAAACTAGCATTCCCCACACCCCAGGCCTAGAATTCATCATTGTAAAAGAAAAGGGAATGTTTATTACTGCCCGTTCTCATGGTTTCACCCTATTCTATTTGTAACCAAGCAACATAACAAAAAGGTGCATGTGTAAGTGAGCCATCCTACAGGGCTGACGCTCTGTCACCAAGTCCTATTTTTATACAAGTTCATCAGTTAACAACATGTATCGAGTGTGTACTCGGTAGAGAGCCTCATGTTAGGTTCTGTGGGAAGTTATACCCTGAGCAAAAAGATGAGATCTTCCATTTACCTTTCGTTACATTAAAAAGATTCCTTCTCTTAGTGACCATTACTAGAGGACTAAAGCCTTTCTATGAGTTTCCTCAGCATCTCTGCCACGAGCCCAGATTCAGGCTGGGAAGATGACACCTGACGAAGAGGTCCCTTTTGTCTACCCATAGCTGTCTCCAGGTCTGAGGTGGGAAGAGCCATAGGCCTCTTCAGGAGCCAGTGCTAGTATTCCCATACATTTGGGGCTCCACTGTCTGTCCTGATGCCAGGATGGAGCACAAGTCCCATGGCCTTATTCAGATTCAGGAAACGGCCGAGAGAGCTGATCCGGGAGGGAGTCCACGCAGATGCACCTGCTGTGAGATGTGATCTCTAGCATTCTAGATCCTCCTCTCAAGATTCACCTATCTCCTTCTGCCCCTACACATTTTTTCTTTGTCCTCAGGACACTTTTTGGCCTTTCTCTTCTACCCCTTTCCATGCAAACAAATACTGGACTCTTCCATTGTCTAACGACACTGTTGCCTGTCTTGAGTCATCTATTCTTTCTTTGCTCCTACCACCTACCTTCAGATTAAGTCTTAAGGAGAAAACTTTTGAACGAAGACAATTTTCAACAAGAAATACTGAATTCCTAGTTCGAGGTGATTTTTAAATTCTAGATAGTGTCTGGTTTCGCCTGGTAGAGAGGAGATCCATTGGGTCTTCTGAAACAAATTCTGTCAAGCATAGAGGCTAGCCAGGGGTCCTGAAACTCCCGTAGGCACAGGAAAACTGGCCATTCTGTATTTTGTCTGGCAGTCCTGCACCGGAATTGATGGCGAAGCTCAGTGTCTCTCTGACTCCCTGGATCTAGCATATACTTGGATTCAGTAGGTCTGAGGTAGGACCAGGGCTCTGTACATTAAAACATCATAGAAATCGTGGATCAAAAATATTTCCGTAAGATCTTCCTTCTCAAAGGTGGAACTCACACCCTTCCCTTGAGTGTAAGTTGAACCTAGTGACTTGCTTCTAATGAATAGAAGATGACCGAAATTGTGACTTCTGTGTGTAGGACTTCTGAGACTAGGCACAAAAGGTGTGGCTTCCTCGTGATGCTCTCTCTCAGATCGTGCTCTCTGGGGAAAGCCAGGAAGTCCAGCGGATGGACTGTAAGGATATCAAGTAACCCAGGTTCATGTGTCATGAAATGGAGCTCAGCCATGTGTATGCACCACCTGCCAACAACCCAGCGAAGCTGCTTCCAAACTCCTGATCCAAGAATCTGTGTGACATGACATAGTAACTGCTGTTATAAGCTGCATAGTTTTAGCAAAATTTGTTACACAGCAATAGATAACGAATACAAACGATCCTGATGCAGGTGGTCTGAACACCACATTCTGTGAAACACTGGATTCAGCCAATAAAAGGAGTCATAAACGCTACCTGAATTAATATACTATGGCTCCAAAAATAGGATTTTGATTGGATGATTCTTTGTATGTAAAACAAAATCACACTTAGGAAAAGTTTGCAAAATTAACCTCAATAAAATTTCCAAGTCCCCAGTAAGAGCAAGCAACCCACACTCCATCACAAGTCAGCCGAATCTTACCAGGAGCAGCCTCTGGTTCGACAGGTGTCCCCTCTTCAACTGTGGCTTCTTCCACCTTCACTAAAGGTGCTCTGCCCTTAAGTGATGGCTCACTGGCAACTTTCTGGGGTTCCTTCTCGGGCTCTTTTCTCTCAGATTCCACTCTGACTTCTCTCTTGACAGGGCGGATGTTGCCAGGGGATGGGGGCCGGACCTGGGCAGGGGTAGCTTTGACTGATCCGGGAGGCAAGGAGGAGGCTGGTCTGGGTGTGCCAGGCAGATGAGGAAAGGACTTGGATGGAAGCCTGGGTGACAAACAGTGGCAAGAGAACGGGAGACATCAGGGTAGGCTTTCCCGAACCTTCCTTTCCTCACACTTCTACCCCATGATAGTACTAGAACACTAAGGAACAGTACTAGAACAATAAGGAAAAGAAACGAAGATATTTAGCTGCGTGTATTTGCTTTTTATGCAGCAAACACAAAAATATTCACTCTAGACTCTTTCCTGTTTTCTTTTTCTTTTCCTCCAAGGAAAAAATATTATTCCTGACGTCAATGCCAAACAGCGTAGAAAGAATAGTTTCCTTTCAGAGGACAGAGGCTACAAATTCTTCAACATGGAACAACCCAGCCAGCTTCTTAAATTTCGCTTACCAAAGTCGGGAGGGCCCTGGTGATCTTACTTTGGGATGAGATGGAGACAGAGCCCTCCGAATGCCACACGTGGGTTGGAACGGGAGGTTTTCTCTCTCTCTGTCTCTTTTATAGCCCTAAGTTCAGAGAAACACAATAATTAGATTTTGCTATAGGAGTGGGACAATCCCATTCACAGTATTCAATAGTGGAGCCACAACCCACTGAGTGACTTCTTGGAAATTTTCCAACTTTTGTCATTTAGACCCATTCCACTCCCACAAAAAGCCCTTGTTAGCTTAACACTGAATATTGTCAACTGAATTAACACAATCTGACACTAATAATAAAGCTCTGGATGTCTGATCTGGAGTTATAGTTGTTTAAAAAAATACACACTTATACTCTTAGAAAGCACCTATATATACTTTGTGCCTAAAATCAGCTGGGGCAAAATCTCTCACTGTCTGGTTCAAACCGCACAAATATCAAAATTAACATCACTTCCATTCCCTTCTCCCCCCTCTTTTAATTCTTTAGCATTTTTTTTCTTTTTTTCCACCTTGGAACATGGACATAACTGCAGTCTTTTTTTTTTTTTTTTAAATAATACCTGTCTGCTACATCAGACATTAATATATTTTCCCCTTTATACTGATACTACATAAATAAGTCCTTTCTCACCTAATGTCCTCTTGCTCTTGAAGGAAAAGTTATGTTCCAGGTGAAGAATTCTAGCTATTTTTAATCTTCTTCTTTAAGGATAAAATTGAAATGGCAGAGTGGGTCAAAACATCATCCCTTTTCTAGCTGCATCCTATAAATTCAGCCAGAGAGTGATACCTTTTCTAACTCGAAATGAGCAAAGGGAAACCCAGAGTGTTCCGATAATGTATAGTCAGCCAAGACAAAAAGACCAAAACAAAACAAAACAACAACGACAAAACAACAAAAAAGCACAGAGCAAGAAAGACTAATTCTAAGTATCTGAAACTTGCCAACAATGTTCTGGCCTGGGAATGGATACTCACTGGATACACCTGTGCAAGCACCTGTCAGTCCTTAACTCTGTTAGGATCCTTGCAGGAAAGCAGACTGTGAGAGCCCAAGGAAAGGGACAGAACTTTGTCTTATCTAGCCGCAGGGCCAAGAAGCTGGTAGTGTACCGTCTCTTCTTTCTGCCCGGTACAAGCATCAACTCCCCTCTTCCTTCCTTTCCCACGTTTGTTTCCCTTCAGTGTCCCTTCTAATTGCTCCTCTCCACTTTCCTTAGAAGCATTCTAGTTGCTTGACTGGGCTGTAGGTGGGGGAAAAATATGAGTATCAAATAATACTCAATGTCTTCCCGGGATTTCTAAATAAAACAAATGAAGACTGGGGCAGGAAAAAGTTTTACAAGATGTGTGCCAGCTCTATATCACTTGTGGCTGCACGACCATCCTTTGCCCCCATTTCTGGTCCCAGAAGGTGGGAGGTGAGGGCTCAGAGAGCAGCTGTAGTCCTTGGGCACAAAAGTGTCAGCCAGCACATGGGACCCTTCTGGAAGGGATAGAGGGTGGCAATTATGCCTTGGGAATATCAGTGCCAGAGTGGAAGGCCTGGGGCTCTTCCCAAGAGAAGCTGGGGTTATGCACCTCAAGTAGCTTTTTCCTTTTTCTGGAAACATTTGAATGTGGTTGAAGTCAAATTAAGGAGAGATCTGAATGGGAAAATAAGTCCGGAAGTGTAGCTCGTGATGCGGGGGATACACGGATGAATTTCATCATCTGGGTCTTAAGACAGGCATTGAGGGAATGAACCTACAAAGATCTGTATAATCCTTCTTTTTGCATTAAAAAAAAAAAAGTCTTCTTTTTTTAAAGTGGCATTGAATCAATTCTTTCTTTCCCAAAACTGACCACCTTAAAGGGGTAGGGGAAACAGGGAAAGAGCAGTTTAGAAAAATGCCCCATACTTAAGATAACATCCTCTCAGGTAGGTAGATGCTTTTACTCTCTTAGTTCTTTTAGATGTCTTTTCATTGGTCTGGCACCCAATCACCTATTTGGGGACCACACGTGTAAAGGCACTCCTTATCCTCGTCCTGATCTGAGTTAGTAGCCAACGGTCTCTACAATAATCTTCCCTGTTAATAATTTCCACAAGGCTACACTAAGGTGGAAGGCACAGCAAGGTGCCCATGTCAATGGTGCTGGCAAGTTTCCCAGCAGGACAAAGACTTTCATTTTCCAATTAGAGTTAGGTTTAGAATACAAATAACTTTCAAGAGAGATAATACAGACAAATACTCCAAAGCAGACTGAAGTCCAATAGAACTTTCTGTGATGACTGACATAATCAACATCCATGCTGTCCAATATACTAGCCACGTTTGGCTATTTGAATTTCGGTCTAAATTAACTAAAATTAAATAAAATTGAAAATAAAATTATGAAAACAGTTCTATTTGTAACAGCATCAAAAAGAATTAAATACTTAGGAATAAACTTAACCAAGAAGGCAGAAGACTTGTACACTGCAAAACAAAAGAAATGAAAGAAGACAAAATGGGAAGACAGTCTATGTTCACAGACTAGATAGAAGACAGACTTATTGTTAAAATGTCAACACTGTCCGAAAGCAACTACAGAGTCAATGCAATCCCTATCAAAATCCAGTGTTGTTTTTGCAGAAATAGAAAAATTAATCCTAAATTCATATGGAACCTCAAGGTACCCTGAGTAGATAAGACATTCTTGAAAAGGAGAACAAAGTCGGAGGTCTTGTACTTTTGATTTCAAAACATAATCAAAACAGTGCGGTACTGGCATAAAGATAAGCATATGGACCAATGAAATAGCCCAGAAATAAATCCTTGTGTATATGGTCAGAGGATCCTTGATAAGGGTGCCAAGACCACTCGGTGGGGAAAAGATAGTCCCTTCAACAAACGGTGTTGAGAAAACTGGGTATCTACATGCAAAAGAATGTAGTTGGACTCTACCTCACACCATATACAAAAACTAACTCCAAATGGATTAAAGACCTAAATGTAAAACTTAAAATTATAAAATTCCTGCAAGAAAGTTGAGGAAGCTTCGTGACATTGTTTTTGGTAATGATTTCTTGGATATGGTACCAAAAGGCCACAAAAGCAAAAAGAGACAAATGGGACAACATCAAACTTAAAAACTCCTGTGCATCAAAGGATACATACAATCAACAGAGTAATAAGGTAACTTACAGAAAGAGAAATATTTGCAAATCATATATCTGAAAAGAGATTAATATCCAGAACATGTAATATCCAGAATATGTAAATATCCTGCAACTCAACAACAACAACAACAAAAAAAATAAAGATTAAACAAATTAAAGAATAAGAATAAAAGATGAGCAAAGGACTTAAGTAGATATTTCTCCAAAAAAAGATATGTGAATGGTCAACAAGCACATAGAAAGATGCTCAGTATCACTGATTGTTAGGGAAATGCAAATCAAAACCACAGTAAGATAGCACCTCACACCATTATGATTTTCACAAGAAAATAACAAGTGTTGGTGAAGATGTGGAAGAACCGGAACCCGTCTATATTGTTGGGGGAACGTAAGTTAAATGGGGCATTGCTATGGAAAACAATATGGCAGTAGGGCAAAATATTAGAAATAGAATGACCACAAAATCCAGCAATCCCACTTCTGGGTATATATCCAGAACAACTGGAGGCAGGGTCTTGAAAGAGATCTGTTACCCACATATATAGCTGTGCTATTCATAGTAGTCAAGAGGCAGAAGCAACTCAAATGTCCATCAGCGGATGAATGGATTAGCAAAATGTGGTGTATATGCGTGTGTTTGTGTATATGCATACATACATACAATGCAGTTTTATTAGCCTTAAGGACAGAAATCCTGTCACATGCTACAACATGGATGGACATTATGCAAAGTGAAATAAACCAGTCACAAAAAGATAAATACTGTATGATTCCATTCGTGTGAGGTATCTACACTAGTCAAATTCAAAGAAACAGAAACTGAAATAAATGGTGGGTTACCAGGGATTGGGAGAGGAGAAAATGGGGAGTTGTTCCTTAGTGGGCATAGTTTCAGTTTTTCAAGATTTAATAAGTTCTGAAAAATATACGTAATATTACTGAAATGTACACTTAGAAACGGTTAAGACAGTAGATTTTGTTATATGTATTTTTTTTTACTGTAATTAAACATTTTTAAAAAGGAAATTAAATTTAAAATTCTTTGTCATTCTCACTAGCCACTTTTCAAGTGCTTCCATGACCAACTGCTGCTGGTTGCTCAAATGAATTCCACAGCGCAGCTCTGGGGCAAAAGTGACTTGTGAGTCACTTTCCGGAAATAGGTATTTGCCTAAACATTTGGTCGTAAAGAGATGAAAAGACAACCAGTAAGTCAAATATAGAAAGAGGAAGGCGTTAAAAAAAATAAAAAATGGGTGAGACAGTAGAGTTTCTGGATCATGTGATGACAAATCCCTCTCATTTAATCTGTTGGCCAAGGGTCAGCTCTCATCCTCCCCTCCTGGTGTATTATGTTGTGTTTTTATCCGCAGCAAGGTATTTTTCCTTTGGTAAGTACTTTTCCCTCTCCAATAAGTACTCAACCTTTGGGGGCCAAGGTGTTCACCCCAACTATTGCTTTTTATCTACAGCTAGGCACTCTGAAGCACCAATGCGCTAAGGATGAAAAACTACCCAGACATCAAAGGTAGTTTCACCTTTAGCTTGTAGGGCTGGAAGTCTGACTCAATCATGAATTAAACACTGATTCCTGAAAGCCTGGGGCTTGAAAGAAAACAGCCCATAGGCAAAGCCATCGAGCTCTCACAAGCCTCAAATTATCCTCAAACAGCTACACAAAATCCTTTTAAGTGTCCACCAGCTTTATAAATCTGAACTGCTCTGGGAAGTTAAGATTTTAAAAAAATCGTTCAGCCTTTCATTAAACAGGTCACGGTATTACTATGGGAGAGAGGCAACGAGGTCTTCCGGTTGACTGGGGAGCCCTTCAAGACTACAGTACAATCACTGAAGACCACACAACAATGTCCGCTCCTTTCAACGGATACTAAATAGCACAGAGTTTGAGGAAGAAAGATGCATGGAGACATACGAGTTACCTCATTGCATTTATGGCATGAAATTAATCAGAGGTGAACATTAATGTCAGCTCAGCCACCTTGCCAGTAATGCCAAGTACAAATTATATTCTTCACTTGCAAAACAAGAGTCTGTAACACAGCCCAGTGGCCTTTCAAGGATTAGTTACTTAGCAAATCACTAGTGTCTTCAAAATACTTTTGTCACTATATTTTCAGATCTGGGCCTTGACAGGGAGGGATGAGCTAGGCAGACAAAAATTCTTTATTTTGCTTTTTGGTGAAGCACACTGAGAGTTCAGCCAGCTTCTGGATATGGGGGCTTAATAACACGCAGAGGCAGGGGCCCAGGCCCTTTGACCTCCGTCAAAGGGTTTCTTACTTTCAGGAATGTCAAAGTGTCCTGGCATTGCACTGGTTTGCACGGAGGCACCCGTGTGCTACTTCGGCCACTCGCACAAACTTAGACAAAGAATGGTTTTCATCTTCAAGTTCACGTTTTTAGGGGGAACAAAACTCCCAAGTGGAGAGAAAGCGTGGGACACCACTGCCCAGGGGTGGGCACCTCCCACTCCGACACCCACACCGCACCTCAGGGTGGTGTCCACTCCGCACAGACATGCCTGGCTGTTCCCAACGGCTACTCACCACTGTGCCATGAACAGTCCTCCTTCGCGCAGAGCCCTCTGGCGGTGTTACCAAGAATTTGGGTCGATCCGTCAGATTTCTAGAGTGTGCAGCTTTGTAGGGCATGATGTTGATGGGGCTGCAAGATGCTGAACGAGGACAAATGGGGATAACTAGGGTGCAGGTGATTGTTTTACACACAAGAGTGCCAGAGGAGCAGGTGAAGGAAAGCCAAAAGCAGGTTCAGGAAAAGGAGCAGAGCAGAGGTAGAAAGAAAAGTAGGGAGAAGATGTTATTACCTAAAGGTGTCCAGAGCCTTCATATTCAACTCTCCTGACAGTCCTATCAGTTTACAGTGTGTCCAAAGAGAAGCCATGTCCAAGTGAAAAATCTAGACTGTATAAGCTATTTGGCTATTTAGACACCAATTAAAGACGCAGATGTAATCTCATATAGAAAGCCAATGGCCTTATCTTCCTATGAAATAATGGTTCTGCTAAAATGCTACATTAGTGACAGATAACTTTTACATAAGGACTGTTTACAATTAGATTTTTCCCAATTAGCTTTAAGATGGAACAAAAGGTGGAAAGACAGGAAACAAGCAAGCAGGCAAGCAAGAGACATTCCAGCTATTTCCAGGGTGAAGTTCAATAGCTGGTGGAAAGAATTTTTATAATGTTAAGTGACCAAGTCTTACCAGGAGTTAAGACTGGTCACAAAGATAACTAATAATTCCCAGAAACAAATTTTGTAAATGTGTTGTCTATTTAAAGGCAAATCAGATGCATAGCTGATGGGTTTTCCCAAAAGCCAAGGCATTTGATGGTGTATAACAAGCAATAGAATTTATGCAGAAGTGGGACGTAATCATTTAAAATGATGAATAGAACATAAACATGTTAGAATTGCCAAAAATAAAGTTGAGTCACGAATAGCTTTTACAGTTTTACTCAGGTTGATAAAGGTTTTGAAAATCACATAGTTTCTGACCATTCACATTCACAGGGACACTGCCATGAATCACATGATTCTGAGGAACAATGGGTTTAAGGAAATTCATAGAACACTACATAGGTATCCAAAGTGTGGGTACGAAGGTTCCAAGGTTCATTTTCAGAACCTGAGAAATCCTGTTCTCCAGCAAAAGAGTAAGACAATTCAACCTGACTTCTGAGGAGAATACTAGGTGTTTGGATGATGTTATAAAATGACTTTACCCACTTAAAGCCATTGTAGCAAACCTTTAAAAAGACCATTAGTTCAGCTATGTATAATAGTATTTATTAATAAATTAAAAACTCAAAAGTTGGGAATTTTGGAATTATAGAGACAAGAAATACTTGTTACTTATCTACAGACAGAAAGTTGATCAGATGGCTTATCTATTCATGTGCTCTGTCATTAAATGATTTGTAGTATCTTCTGGTTATCACTGAATGGTCAAGGCTGGGAATAAACTAGACACTGTATTCTCTTTTCCAGTCCTCTGAAAACAGAACTCTATTTCTTCAGGATAAACTAAAACACTTTGCAACCACCCCCCCCTCCCCTGTTGTCCTTAAAAGAATATGTTTATCTTACCTGGGACTGACATAAAGCTTGGCTTCAGACCTTAATGACGAAGGAAGATGCCTTTATTTTGAGAAAGGAGAACCTTGTCTCATTTGGCTTGTTGTGATCACAGGGAAAACTGAACATAACCATTCGGTCAAGTCCCACAAAAAAGCATTTGCATTTCCCAATGAAGAGTTAATTAATGCAAAACTCTTCCAAGCCAATCAAACGCATTTAAAGAATAACATCCTGGCACAGAGCACCTCCGTGAGATTACGGACCAGGAGAGGCACATACTGCCCGGGGGGCATGGCCAGAGGTCATTTGCCTCGCTCAAGGATCAAAAAACCCTAGACAACAGCCCTGTTGAGGCCAGGGGTCTGACAGGAAAAAAGCAGCACAGAAATATGATATCATTTTCCTCCAGTGGAAAATAACTTCAGGGGGCATTTCCTGAGATGATCATGGGTGTAAGCCAAGCTCATCATGCCTCTCTGTTCATTCTTTATTCTAGCAGTGAGGTAATACTGAGCAAAGGGAGAAAATACCCTCAAATCTATCTAGTGTAGCTTGTACAGAATTCCTCAAATTTAATTGTTCAAGGAACATCGCCTGGCTAAAATAAACACTGTAAATTCTAAGAATATTATGTTTCATGGAATTCATTGTTCCGAACAGCAACCACTGAAAATCCTGAAACCTTTAAATCAATTAATTGTCTTTAAAAAAAAAAAAAATGTATCTTGCCCTTCCGAAGAGTAAGGGCAATAATATATAGCTGTTATTTTTATTTTCCCAGAGTGCCCTCTGTATCCCAAAGTAGTCTTAATAAACACAAAAATTCTTGTCTGGAGTGTCTACCAGAAAGTCTTCCACAGTATCTCTACTTCCTCTTACTTTTGGTAGCAAGTGTGCATTAATCTTGTTTATTCAAGAGTTTCTAAATGAGCTGTATGAAAAGGTGCAGAGAAAAGATAATGCAGTACAAATGGTTAGAGTGCAGCATAGAGAAGTGAAAAATTAGCAAATAGAAACATGATAACATTTATCGAGCACCACTATGTGTAGGTACTACTTTAAATGTTTTATATGTATCAACTCATTTCATCCTGAGCTCTAATAATCACAGGTATTTTCCGTGTATTTTTTAAAAATGGGCATGGTGAAGTCAACCCAGACCTGTCGCCACAAATAAGAGGTAGGAGACTTCCAAATTTCAAGTGCTCTTATTGCCTGTTCTGGGAGTTTGCAATCCCCAAACATTCTAGGGGAAAGGGTGGCTGTCTTCATCTGCCACGTAACCCTGGCTCTGATGTAGGGCATCCTCTCGCCAATGGCAATGGGATATATGATGAACTCAAGGCACAACGGTAAAATGGAAAGAAAGAACAGTTGAGGAGAGCAGGTGGCAAAATGAAAGCGATGGATAAAGTGTTTTTGACAAGAGAAACACAAGCGATGTTTATATACATAATTTCAAATGGGAAAAAAATTTAAAGACAACAGTTTTGGGTCATTAAATATAGGCCGTATCAATTCAACTAACAGGTAACAATGATCTAAGGAATGTGTTAATAAGACCAGCAACTCAACTGAAGGTCTATGCATTGCTTCACACTAAAGTAAATTACAGAAATGTATCAAAATTTGTGGAAAAGGAGAATGGGAAAGTGGCAAAGAACAGCCAGTTAGCAGGTAAAAAGCACCCTGACTGAGTGTAACAATGAAGAAGGAAGGTGGGAAGGTGG